AAAAAAAAAAAAAAAAAAAAATCAGTACACACACCAAAGCTAATTTATCAAACGTCTCCAGAGCCACAGATATACAAAGTTAGATGTTCCAAAAGTTGCAACCCTTCTGTGAGTCAGCTAGTTTACACAGTTTATACACTATTTGAATAGTTGTATATAAAAAATGAGAAAAGGTGAGTTTTTTTTCCAGTTATTACTACTTTAACTCTTTTGGTTTGGACAGCAGACACACTACACCCCCATCTGACATTTTTGGACGTTTCACCATTATTTCCATTGAAACATATTAAGTGCTTCTTCTATCAATGCTGTGTCACCTTTGAGGAATTCAACCGAGAAAACCTTGACTCCAGTAACAGGCCAGTCCGTCTTACTGCCCTGTATGGATTTTGATTATGTCCACATGAAGCACTGAAAGTACAGTTCAGGAAACTTCCCTTTAAAGCCATTAGAATGTGATTGGCCAGACTTTACTGTCAACATTGCACCATGTCTGTTCATAATGTGTTTGCACAAAAGCAAACACATTATGAAGTGGCATGTCCATTTAATGGACTCAGATACGTCACCTAAAATAAGATCTTGGCTCTGATTATGACACTTTAAGCCTGCACAACAGGCACATATATAACAGCACAATTAGTGCAATTAGTCTCTAGTGCTGAGTTTATTTAAAAATTTTACAAATTTAACAATGATATTTAGATCTGTGGTAAAATCTCACACAAATTTAATTAATTGGCTAATCATTAGATTTAATTGCTAAGGCACAATGTCAAAAACTGTAATACTTATATGGACATTTAATCTTTTGTATTTTTACAGATTCTTAATTGTGGTTATTCAGTTGTAGCTCAACAAAAATGTTAAGGAATTCAAATATGGATCATAATTAAGGACTTCCACATTTTCCCTCTCTATCTGCACAAACCAGTCTGACTGTAATGGTAATTCTGTCGACTGGCATCTCCACTTGTTATGCCCTTGAGCAGGACTCCTAAAAGTAAAATAGAGAAAGAAAAACATCTTGCACTACTGTTTCTTGCATAAAGTTTAGCTTTGATAAAGAGGCTAAAGCAGTTCAGAAATCTTTTGAAAAGTAAAGTTTTGGAGACTTCACATTTTCCTGATGTGACATTGTAACCTCACACGCCAGTCAATATAACGATACAATGATTTGGACCAATTAAATCTCAAATTCTTACATAAGTCAGGGGTTCTACATATGGTTTCTGTAAAGAGTTTCCACAGGCACTCAGCAATTGTTTTGCACTTCTACTGTTATTTAAACACTATCTGAGTTTTGGCTTCTTTAATGAAAAAGGTGTGACTGCTGCTGAGCAAAGGTGAGTCCCTAAACCCTAAATAAGAACTCTTCAAAGTATGCATCAAAACTTTAATTAGACATAACGGTAACTGATGGGAAAGCTTTGCATTCATTCATTTCATTGAACTAACTTGATCTCTTCAGACTTGAGGCATTCCCCTTGGAAAAACCGAAAATGTTGTGGCCAAATTTGGTCTATTCTAGAAAGCAATCTTCAGCTCCGGTGGACCTAAAAATATTCATGTGCACCACTACAGACACACTTGAGTTTATAAACACAAAACACCAATTTTCAAAAACTGACATTTAGTACAGGTTTAAAATCATATATGAGAGAAAGGTCTTTAGTCATGAGGACATGTCTTCCTGGATTAATGGAACCTCAGGGAAACCTTATCTGACTTGTAGTGTTTCCTGTTCTCAGAAAGTCTTTTTCTCAAAAACAGATTATCTTGCTGTATAGCCTGGGTTGACCTGAATAGAGTATTATTATTACTATTAATAACACAGGGAGTAGCATAACCAGAAGTAAGGCAATCCTGGCAGTAATGCTAGTGCTAGTATTGTAGCATCAGTCACTGTAGCAGTTAGGTTATTTAGGGTCTTTGAATGGGAAAACATTTTTCTACCCGAAGTCTCCTAAGAGTGTTTACAGATGAAACTAGTCTATCTGTGGCTGTGGTGCATTTATCTGCTCCACTCGCGAGCGGGTCTGATCTCCTGAGCTCATGGCCTCACAGTGGAAGCCAGCGACAGTAGTTGAACACTGGATGCAAATAGTGCAGGATCTGAGCAGAAGGGGACTTCAAGAGTGACACCCTGATTTATGATGATTAATAGCATGCTGGAATAATGAAGCCATGTAGTCTTGGTGAAGCTGGTATACATCATATCTAGAGTTGTATAGTATGCAAACTCCATCAAGTCTACTCTAGCCCCATTTGTGTTCATTAGTACAGACTCCCACCACCTCATCGACATGAAAGAACGCGTAAAGTGGGCTCTAAATGGAGCTTATTGACCAAGTCCATCGATCTCCAGCTTATGTGTTTCCTGAGACAAGCTGGCTACTTGTAAATGATTGAGTATTTGACTAATTACCAAGACTGAGTGTGACACCAGGACCTAGCTCAGTACTATTATTGGTGTAGACCAACTGACAGACCAGTATGATGTTTTCATTCCTCTGTATTGCATCAAGTAGTTTGATACAAGAGGCCTGTCAGCCTGATAAAGCAGTGATGAGGAAACACTCCCCATCTTTCAGCAGGCCATGATGGACCGCCGTGATACCACAAGTGGACACATTAGTGAAGTAAAATAGTTTTTAATTGTTTCCACATGCAACCTTGACCATGTGCTACTTGACAAAACTGCTAAATGGACAGTCAGAGCAACACAAAGCATAGTTACTGAATGTGTCAGCCCAGTTGGGTCCGAGCAAACTCCCTAATACATCTTTTACTTGTTCTGTCTCCTGCGCACCACTGAATTCAGTGCATCCATTTTACTTGACAAAGACGTTATATCATGACCAGTGATGGTCTGCTTGTACCAGTGGCAAATTAATATTGGTAAAGATGCTATAGGTAGTCACAGCATTTCAAAATGGTTGTATGCAAAACTACTGTCTCGGGCAAAAAAGTAATCTTGGATGAGCTGCATTATTTTGGTACACCGTGTTCATATTTTCTTATGTTCCTGATTGGTCAGTAATGACTGTACAGTGTATTTCCATTTTCACATGCATGACAAATGTATACACAGAGAGACTGACACAGAGAAATGATCACAGCTGACAACTCCCTCTCCCATGACACCACAGCTGTCCCGTGCACATGCACACACACACAAATGTACTTCATACCTTATGGACATAGTCCATCCTCCTCAGCTGTTTTCCCTGAGCCAACACCAATCTAACTGATCCATGACGGCAGCAGTGGGATATTATGTTACTATGTGAGAGAATTAGCATGGTGTTGCCGGATTTAGCCCCATAAGCTTTGCAGGGTTAGGAGTATCTGGGGTATATGGGCTAGTGGCTTCCCTGAACTTAAGCCCCTCTTCCTGGGTATATATGGCTGCCACACCTGTCCTCACTGACATATGCAATTTCACTTTTCCTGGCTCACATACAGACTCAAGAGAGTGTGGGTTGGTGTAACCGTGTGGATTTGTTTCTTTTAGCTCAGGCTGTATAATGTTGTTTATGGACAGTAAATATGCATCCATTTATTTTTTGCTACATGGTGTGCTCTTTTTGGAAAGTCAGAACAAGCATATTGTAAGCAAATGTGTTTATGTAATTTAATGTGTGAAAGAATACATATTATAAAAATGGGACATCAGTGAAATAAAGAGTGTAGATTGATTCTGAATGCTGAGACTACGTGAACTGTGAAGACCATTTTAAAGGTGCTATGGCACATGAAGTTTTGTCCTCTTCTTTTTGTACAAGACATAAGTGAATTCCTTCTTTAAGCATGGCACAGACATTGGATTGACCTGCAACACAAGGGCTGACAAAATTTTATATTATGCATGCAAATAAGGGTCAAATAAGTTTTTGTTTTCAGGTCTTTCTTGAAAAAGAGACTGTGATCTCAATGAGACTACCTGAAGATTACACTTGTCACATACAGTATATTGTTTGACACAGCCAAACTCACAGTTTACTTCTTCTCACAACTGATAAGTGTTACGTATGTAAACAGTACCTGTTAACTAGACCAGTTCCTTTCATTATTGCACTAAGACTGTCACTCAGTCCCTATATAGTGTATGGAGCAAAGTCTGACTAAATTAACATTAATACAGATTAACAGCATCATCTGCATTGCGTGTGAGCATCACTCCACTGCTTCCATCTATGACACACCCAGCTTTAAGGTACAGTATGTATAGGTAACAGTGACCATAACATTTTCCACAAGCATTTTAAAATTAATATGCAAAATAAATTCACACCCCGCACATAATCTCTTTGTCTCATCATTGTTAAAGCATATTCACACACTGCACAGTTTGTGTCCATTCATGTTCAGTTTGTTGTTTTTGTACATTGGTTTTCTTACTGTTAAGGACCTTGCCTCATCCTCTTGCCTCAGAGGGTTGAAGAATGAGGCAAGGTCTTCACTGTTATGTAAAGACCCCATACTGTATTATTTACATTAATAATCCACAGAAGAGAATATTCCCAGCAGCGTGCACACACAAATGTTAATGTGCAGACAAACACATGCACTAAGTAAAATATTTAATGTTGTGTTTGATTCCCACTATGTTGGCTCATGTATCATTGGGCTAGGGATGGAAATATCATTTCCATGGTGAAAAGAAGAAAAGCACAGCCTTCCTTCCATGCTTTGTCTCTACTTCCAACAGCAGAGCTGTTGAATTACAGAGCACAGTCCCTGCCAACCTCTCTGTGGCCCAGTGTACTGTGGGGAAGAAACACATCCAGAAAGAAAGCTCTAGACGAGGCACTGGGAGGAAGGATTACCTAATCAACCTACACTACTGTATACAGCAGTAACACATTAGAGAAATGTTTACCAACCAAGGGTACTTGTATTCCAGGACTACATCTGCAGTTGCAGTTGGTTTAAAAAAAAAAAAAAATCATTTGATAAAAAGTATAAACATCCACATATTGAGTAACTGCAGCTGTGACACGTGTTGTGATGAAGAATACAAGAAAACTAGCTAACATGCTAGCAGAAAAGTCTAAAGAGCTAAAAGTATACATGGTTAAAGTAGATAGCTAAAAGCAATTAAACTGTTCAGTGCCAAATATGGTTGAAATAGTTTTCTAACGGTGAAGGATAAATGGTTATTTCATGGCTCACTCCCTGTCCACAGATATATGACCATGGCCACACATCTTTGTTTGATATTTAACAATCTGTATAATCAAAGGACGCCAACCTCACTGGTAAAGTTCTAATAGTGTGTCTGACCACACACACACAACCCCAACAGGGAAAGTGTCTAATACATTTAGGGAACAAGATTTTCCAGGCTTGTTGCTACAGGGGTTAGGCTCCCACCAAGCCTCCTTGAAGAACAACAATAAGAAACAGTTAAAGCTACATGGAAACTGTTTAATAGCAAGCTAAAAGTAACGAATAAATGGCTGAAATAAGTCATGTATAAATGTGGGAGAACATTATTGGCCTTGAGTGCTGGGCCAGAAATGTTAGAAATGCAAAATGAAATGGGCAAATCAAAGCAAAATCATTGCAGGGCAGCTATAGTCAGAGCCCCCCCACTTGCTTTTAACCCAATGGTATGATGTCTGCCTGTCATCACACCTGACTGGTTGCATGCACAAATATCCCAGTCTTTACACACCCAGTTTCCATCACTAATGTTACAAATGCAAATTTTTATATATTCAATAGTGTTAAGCAATCACCATCTTAAAATCATCTCAAATGAAGACGGTTGGATCTTGATGAGCAGTTCATCTGATATTGCTGTGTGGGGTATGTCTAAAAAGAAAGGGTGGGAATCAGGGTCTGTACTGTATGCTCTCTGGCCTGACAGGTAATGCAGTTCCCTCCACTTCTTTTGAGTCTGCTCAGTCCCTATACTTAGTCTGCTTTTTATGCTCTGGACAGAGGAAAATGAGAGCCAGAGAATGAATTGTTGTTGGACAGTTCTGTCTGTTATTCCAGCTCGCTGTGTTGAAATGTCCCCCCTCCCAGGTTCAGCTGGAGAGAAGCATATATCTACAGTATGTGATTACACTGTCTTTTCTACCTTTAACTTAGTGTGTGCTGACTTCATTTTTGTTGGATGTGGGACAGTGCTCTTGCGGGTGGTGAGGAATGCTTGGAAAAAAGATGGATATTATGCTTGAAGGAAACAGTACCTGGTCTCACGCTCCTGCCTTCCAGGGCCGTTTTCATTGAGTTGCCAGTCAAGAGGGACCCCATGCTTTGCCTGAAAAGCAAAGCGGTGTGAAAAAATAGGTTTCAGAAAGAGCGGGAGCGGATGCTGTGTTTTGAGGGAGGCATTACAGTGCATTTATATTGTCGAAACTATATATATACATCCTTGAATATCTGAAGGATAAAGCTATCTGTATAATTCAAACAAAATACTATCAGTCATACAACAAGAAATTATCAAACAACGCCCAAAACTTTCAGGTCTGCAAAATAGGGCAGGACACTTGGTTAGACAGTTGGTGCACTTGTCTGAAACTGGCTGACTATGTATTCTTCACCTAGTTACTTCCATTAGTATTTTTTGTCTACAACCAAATGCAACACCATGAACGGCTTCATGGGGAGATTGTCTAAAAATGTTCATTATTTTTCTCAATTTTTACAAATCTTGTCACACTTCCTTCATCACCTCACTTATAAGTGTGGCATTTTGGAAAAGGCAGAAATGCCTCTGAACAAATTCAGATGACATAGTGTACAAACTAGCTTGTTCATACTGGGCCTTTTAGCTGAAGATCATCAGACCACAGATCGGTGACAAATTAAAGTAAAAACCAAAATGAAGTTTCTTAGTAAAGACCATCTTTATTACTCCTTGTCTGTGACTGCAGTTTACAGTATGGACATCACAATTTGTGTGGATTTTCTTGCTATCTTTTACTCTGTCTATACTTTTATGCATATGAATTCAGAGAGGAGATCAAAGACCTTGGGGCAACCGGAAGACAGGATTACAACAATGATGTCAGAAATCTTGTCAGTAAACTGTCTACTAATTCCACAGAGACTGAAAAGAAGCACCCATCCTTTTTTCAGCACCATTCCTGCCATCAGATGTAAGCTCCTTGTTATGCTAAAAGGAAACTCAAATGTCTCAGCATAAAAGGCATCAAAAGACAGTCCCAAATTATTTCTAAATAGTTCAAAATGATCTCTGAAAAGCATGCCTTTTGAATTTCTAAACAGTCAGCGTGGAAACGGCACTTTTAGTCCTGTGAAATCTCACCTTTGCTATTTTTCTCAACAAACAAAAAAGATAGTTCCATCTCAACCAACTGGGAAGACTGCTGAACTCTGACCATAATACATTTCACACATGCTTAGTTCTCTCAGGGTGGGAAAAATTAGCTCATTTTTCTGCTTTGTTTTCCTTGCCCATACCATTCGGAAAACCAAACTTGAAATGTCAGCTTTACTTTTGAGGAAATGCACTAAGACCAACATTGCAATACTGTAAAAATAAATGATAGCTGGGTTCGGGCCATTTGCAAAGCTGTCATCTTGTCTGTTTTTATTTGGAGAAAGCCACCTTAGAATGAAGTGTGTGAGGCCTGCAGCTAGGATCCAGCACACTGTTTGGCTCTGGGACTGGTGGATTCTCTGGACAGACTGAGGGAAGGCGTGGGGTTACATTCATCGCCAACAGTGATGTCAATTCATGTTCTGATTTTTCTCTCCTATTACCAAAGAGTTTGCACTGTGGGAGACACTCTTGGAATTTCTCTGTTTATTTTGTTTTTGTCCTTGACCTAATCAGGGGTGGCCAATTCCAGTCCTCGAGGGCTGTTGTCCTGCTTGTTTTCCAACTATCCTGCCTGACCTGCTGCTGATTACCTGGCTCAGGTGTGTTCAGCCAGTCAGAAGCTGAAAGATACCATCTTAAATGAAAGTGGAGTGAGGAAAGATAAAGTCAATTGGTATCTTCCAACTTCTGACTGGCTGAACACACCTGAGCCAGGTAATCAGCAGCAGGTCAGGCAGGGATAATTGGAAAACAAGCAGGACAGCGGCCCTCGATGACTGGAATTGGCCACCCCTGGTTTAAAGGAACAATACCAGAGCACTAAGAAATATAGTCACCCTACCTGAACAATGTACTCAGGTACCCATTGAATATTATTTCATTCATAGTAAAAGGCACATACTTGTTACATTACTGAGCACCATTAAAAGGCCTCTCAGTAACTGCAAAGCTGCTACATGCACACATTTTTTAAACTCAATTTAACCTTTATTGTCGTTTCAACCATATACAAGGTACACAGACTCAAGACTTAAAGTGTTTGTCATGTGCACAGTGAAGAAACGCGTTTTCCTGTACAATGAAATGTTTTTCAGCGAAAGGAAATATTGTTACTTCAGGTATTCCAGCAACAAAGTACAAGAGTATCTTTCCTGACCAGTATATAAACACAGACAGGAACATCGATATTGGATTTTTGCAACTGCACTTATCTTCTGTGACAGCATCTACTGTATGACAGGATGTAAACTCCAGGGTACGTATTACACACTGGTTCACCACCCTCCACACCGTTATTTTGAAGGCGCACTGAACTTTGCCACTGGATGTAATCATGAGATGCAGAACTGTCAAGTCTCTGATGTTTCCTGTGTAATATTCACATTTCAAGAGTATTTCATATTGTTGTACTCTATACAGCAGCACAGATTACAGACTAAAGTATGAGTTTCCAAATCAAGTGCCCATCTCTGTGCCATTTACAATTCTGACATGGCCTTATAGTAAAAACAAAAGTGGGATTTAACCTGCTAGAGTACTTGGATGGTAGACTATCATGGAAGCAAAACCCTTTTGTTATACAATTAATCAATAAAATGTTGATTTTTTTTTGTGCCAACTCTTGTAAAGGGTAAAATAAAAAAGGTGGAGGTTAAGAGCTGGCATTAGACGTATGGATTACAAGGGTTACCCGAAGTGCTCGACACAGTACTACATTTGGAAGGAGGAGCACGGTATTGGGATTTTATTTTATGTGCTTGCTTTTGAAACCCAGACTCTGAGGCTTTGTGAGGCTGTCACATAATGGGGTTTCCTGTCACAAGGTTGTCCGATGCCATTAATTTGCTTCTCCTGGTACATTCTCCTGGGCTATTGGCTATACACCCAACATCAAGCTTTTCAGTGCTGGCACATCTCTCTCCCTCTCAGAAGCACCATCTTTTCAAAGAGCCGTGGCACTGCTGGAGAGCCTTTTAAGAAACCACAGCAGTGTGGGGGGTGCATGGACCTGCATGATCTTTCCAAACATACAAGAGAGATGAGGCCTGAGCATGAATAAACACAGCACAGCCTGAAGTGCTTTCTGAAGAAACTTACCCCTTAGACCTGTCTTGAGGAGAAAAAATAGGCTTTGCGAAGACAGTTGAGAATAAAAGAGAAAGGAGGTATTAGGAGTGCCCCCTGTCAGACAGCTGGAGTTCCTGCAGCCTCCGAGTGCATTCCAAAGATCATGAAACTGAGTGAGAGGGAGGTGGAAGAAAGACAAAGGTTTTCATAAAGGAGGAGGCCCAGAAGATACAGTCAACCCCCCGTTGGCCCTGCTCTTTTCACTGAATACACAAGACGATAAGGATGGCCTCTCGATCTGAAACAACCCCTGGAGGGCTGTGAAGGCACTGTGAAGAAGCTCTCCTGGCTTGTTCACAGGTTCTATTGGACATGCCGGCCAGGAGGAGACTGGGAGGCCTACTTCACAGACAGAGAAACAAAACAGTGCTGTGACTGAAGCAACATATAGGGACAAAGAAACCAAGATGGCCAAAGAGCTGAGAGGCTGTAGATAAACAGTATGCAGGAGGAAGGGACTGTTTAGACTGATGAGACAGGGGTGAGCGGGGGGTATGTCACTCATCATTCTGGCTTCACCTTTGTCTGCACCGTCACATCAAACAAACACACAATACAGTATATACAAACAAAAGAGGCCAGTCACACAGCCTTCGCTGCCACACTGTGCGTTGTTTACTGCTCTGTGTCTGAAATAAGACCCAGTCTACAGCCCACTCATCAAACTTCGACCTCAGTTTTGTGGAGTTAGTTCAGGTAGTTTAGGATATAAGGATGTCTGGTAAGACAGACCTGTCCTGTGACGATGTAAAAGAAAAGAATTCACAATAGCAATGGGTCAGTAAAGAACATTTTTTTCTACAGAGCACCTAAATGTATATAGCCTCTGTGTTTAAAATGTACGCTTTTGCTTAAAGTCTCAACACATTCCACTGCGTTTATTTTATTAGTCATCACAAAATGCCAGTTGTAGGTTTCCAGAGTCTATGGTGGTGTCTTGAATTAGCTAGTCTGTTTGACCCAAAATATTAACTAGAAAATGAAACAGCAAAGGGAGTGAAACCTAGAAATGTTCAGTAGTGTTGCTTAAAAATGATTTTGTAAGCTTAATAAGTGATTAATCAGTTATCACAATTAATGTTCTGTTGACTGAGCAATTGGTCACAAATGAACATTTGTGGAGTTTTATATTTATTACTTTGATCCTGCAGAACTTAGTTTTAAATTCTAGTAGAGATACCAAAGTTTCTAAAAATACTAAAATATGTCAGGCTGAATCATGGAGAAATGTGTGTAAAGTGATGCAGAAAACATCACAAATAGTTCCATCTGATGGAAGGATGCAGGCATACAAAAACATAGAGTGTTGGGTTAAAAATCATATTGCTTCAGTGAAGAGCTGGTACTAGCCAATAAACAATATATGCACAATACTGTTAGTGTGGAATAAGAAAAGCTGCTTGAATTTAAAATGCCCATGACATTCTCATTTCCAGCCATTTAATGTTTAATCTTGGGTACCTCTAGATTAGCTTTGCACCCTTCATAACTCCAAATAGTCTGTAATTATTTCAGAACAATAAAACCAGAGACCCTCTTCCTAGAAACAAGAGGATTGTTCATGAAGGCACAACTCCTGCTGCTGGTGTTGCCTCCAAAGCGAATAGCAGGACGAACTGCAACAGCATTAATTAATTTCAATTTCTCTTCCATAGATAGGTAAACAACAGTATATTTACCGATGAAACAATCACATACAGTCCCAAAGAAGTGAAATTAATTCCAGCTGGTAGAGTAGCTCTGACAATAACATCATGGATCATTAATCTGCTTGTTAACCAGCAACACATCACATGCGGCAGACACACTGACAGTCAAAACAAACAAGTACTTCTCTCCAG